AACACGAAAATGAAAATCCCTTCAACGCGGTTTAAAAAAAAAAAAAAAAAAAAAAAGTAATGATTAATTTTCAAAGCAAAGTGTGTACATAATGTTTATTAAAAAAAATTAATTTTAATTACATTGTACTGAAACTGCGTATTTTCGACTCTCAGTCATATTTTCTTTTTTAAATTACACTAAGTTATGATTAATAGTAAAAAATATAAACCTGAAATATACATTTTAAAAGACAAATGGTCTCATTAAAAAAAACTGATATACTTGTATTCGACTAAAAAGACTATACGACACATTACATAATATACACAAGAGGAACAAATCACTACATCAAACCATGTAAAATCAAATCTACGCAAAAAAAAAAAAAAATAAAGAAACGTATTTCCTTGTACAGAAAATTAAAGTCTACATTGTTATTATTATTGTCATTATAAATATTTATTACTTTTATAAGCAGTAAATGCCTTGAACGAAAATTTCAGGCTAAACATGACATATATCGAGTAATTGCATCGTGGAGAAGATGATCTGTGATGAGAGAATCCATCATTATTTTCAGCTTAGTCCTTCGAAAAGCCATTTCAGAACGAAAAGCGTCTTCACTGAGTATTTTCATGTGAATAAAGTGATTAAAAAACAACGAGCATTTGGAAACAAAAAAAAAAAAAAAAAAAACTTAATAAATGATGTCTTCTTAATCACAACAGGTAATCTTCTCGACGAAGCAGAAGTTTTGGACTGGATGGTGCGGCAAAAAAATGACGAAAGTATCGAAGAAATTGATCGTGATACTCTCAGCAAGTACATCGAAACTAAGGAATTCCTCGCCGTGATATTTTGTAAGGCTACCGACATCTTACGCTTGTATCATTGCTCCTCATTCATTTAAAATTGAAAAAAAAAAAAAATTATTCACCCACTTGTACTCGCAGCTTGCATTTGTTTGTTAATTTTCGATTTATTGTTATTACAACTTGTGTACACCAAATTGTTTATGATGAGAGCTCATTTTGACCTATTTGTCAAAGACAGTGATACTCCTGCATTTATGACAGTGGTCAGTTCAAAATGTGTTAGTGTGTGGGTTTTTTCCTTTTTTTCCCCCCCTACTTTTATTCACTTAGAGTTAAAAAAAAAAAAAAAAATACGTGTCGTTGAAACCCGCTCGGTGCAGTCAAGGAAGAAGATCCCGAGAGTCCACGAATTTTGCGCCACATCGAGCTCATCGATGACGAAGCGGTCGAGTACGGGATAAAAATCGTGAAAATGAGCGATCGCCTGATGGCCAAGAAATATGGATTCCGCAACCCCCCGGGAATCACGTACTTTCGCAAGGGAAAGTACATAAATTACGATGGCGACATCGACGACGAAGAGGAGATACTGGACTGGCTGACGAACCCCGAGAACATGGAGCTGAACGACCACATAGAGCGGGTCAACAGGAAGATGTTTCAAAAAATCCGGCAAAACTCGGACTACGTGGCGGTGTTTTTCTGTAAGTTGAAGCAAACCCACGAGCCATTCCAGTCAACTTTAAATCATCGCCACGCGTTTGTGCACCATTGAAAAAAAAAAAAAAAAAAAAAAAAAATGTAACATCCCGAGCAATGCTAAAAGTAGACGTGATATCCAGACAGCAACGACTGCAAGCAGTGCAGCCGTGTCCTGAGCGAGATCGAGCACATCGACGACGAGGCCGATGGCGCGGGAATCAACTTCATCAAAATCGATGACAAGCAATTGGCCAAGGAGTACGGGGTTTTTGCCCTGCCTGGCATTCTCTTCTTCAAAATGGGCTCCAAAGAGCCGGTCATCTACGCAGGTATGTCAGGATAATCAATTATTACGTGATTCGTTGAAAATCAAAAGCAACCGATAATACGTCACATAATTGCAGGGGACTTGTACGATGAGCAACAAATCTTGCAGTGGCTGATGACACAGAAGGATCCGTCGGGCGAGATGATAGAGGACCTCGATGGTGAGGATCTGCTGAACACCATACGAGAATCCGATTCTCTGGCTGTCTACTTTTGTAAGTTTCGTACTGCAATTTCATCCTTTTTTTCTCGTTCTCTCACTCGTCAGTTTTTCCTTCATCTTACCTCCTTTTTCATTTTTCTCTGCGATAAATCTCTCGTCGATTTACATTCATTTTTTCCATCCCTCGATGCTCTCTCATTTGAAATATAGTACGTAGCTACTAATTCCTTTTTTTTTTTCTTTCTTTCTTTTTTTTATCAACGTAACGCAAAATTGCGAGTAAAACCATGAGAAAATCTTTTTCTTCGTCTAGAGAAGTTAGAATATACCAATTGAATAATACAAATGATATAAGAGGCGGTGGCTGCTGATTGTGATTTTTGCACCCGTTCGCCATTTTACTGATTACTTTTTTGGACACAACTCTGTTCTACAGAAGTATTTTTTTGGTTTCGTGCTAGTTCGACGTTGTCCTGATTTTGTCAAAAAATTCAGTGATGGATCGGAGTAAAATAAACACCTGTCCGATGATAAATAATTAAACGAATTGATCAGAAAAGAAAAAATGTTAGAACGTTTAAGTGAACAATTTGCAACTACTACATAGAAAATATATATTTATGGTATAAAAAAAAAAAAAAAACACCTTAATATGGTGTGCAAAAA